TAGATTCGATTTGGGAACGAACACACCGGCGTTGCTTCCAGTCGAAGGATCGCGCAAACGGGAACTTTAAAATCAATCCGTGATTGAAAGATCGTAGCTACGAGCCAGACGTAGCTTTCCGCGCGGCTTCATCCGACCAAAGGGGTAGAGATCATTCGATATTCAACGCGTCCAACGAACCCGGACCCCGCGTCTAATTGCAAAGTTGGCGAAAACAAGAAGTATCTGGCAAACACGGAACGAGTAAATACAGTAGAGGGTTCGTTTGTTTAAGAGGCGAAGGAGTGGTGCCATCTCTGATTCTCCGGCATAATGGACGATCCCGAGGCAAGAAAGCGCCAAGGGGTGCGAAGATGGAAGGGGATAGAGGAAGAAACAACCGAAGGTAGAAAAGTGTTCTCTCTTCGAGGGAAAAAAAAGGAATTCTTGTTTGCAGGTCATTATAGCATGTCAAAGGTGAAAAAAGATTTCACTGCGTCTCTTATTCCTTTTTTGTCTAACTAGTCGAGCTTGCGTTAATAAAACGGAGTTCGCTGGAAGAATATGTTCTGAAATAAAATGTCACCGGGCAATCATTAACTCTCTTACCCGAGTAGTTTCCTTCCCTCTCGCTAATTAACGTTTACCGTGCAAACTGATTGCTTTCGCGCATTTCTTTTCTGCGGTAACAATGTTTTATAATTGTAACAAGGTGGATTTTTTTATTTCGCTTGATTTGTCGTCCTTTACGATTCATCTTTAACACCTCATTCATACATAAAGTTAAGTTAATACTGTATGCAGCGAGAGACCACACTTCATTTATGCAACTGGGTAACTTCAGATCCTCACCACTCGGTGATGCCCCTACACCGCACGCTTTCCACTACGCCGGTCATATACACAAAAGGTAAATTTACGAGCAGCGAGAACCACTAATGGGCAAATTTATAAAATTTCGAAAATTTTCAATTTTAATTCCTCAACAAATAAGGCCAGCGAACAGCAGAATTTTCGTTAAAAATTGCTGTTTCATAAAGAAGAGAGAATCTCATATGCAAACAATCGCGTTATTTCACAGCATGATCCTCGCCGGATTAAAGCACGATGTAACGTATGCACGTAGATCCTAAACGGAAACGCGTTTCACTTTGTCATAATGTTCCAGATTTAATCCCGTTTTTGAGACATTAATTCTTGATCGTCCGCCCGATTAAACCGGAGGGTCGAAGTAGTGGGGAAACTTGATTAAATTTTTTTTTCTCCCCGTCGGCGAATGGATATTAAAGCCAGGCGGAACTTCATAAATCTGGACAAATAGAATTTGCCCCCCGTCCGGTGCCCTCTTCCGATCTCCTTTTTGTTTACGGAGAAATATTAACGCGAGTTAGCTTTCGCCCGGTACTTTCACGAACGACCGAGCATTCTTTGATTAGCGATTCCGATTGCAACACGGGATCCGCGCTTCGAATTGGATATGCCGTAAACCAATCATGAATTTATGATGCTTCATCCGTCGCGAAACGCGTACGAATCACCGCAAATATTTCCCTCCACGATGTATTCTGTTATCGTGCTAATCTACCCGCGGTTCTAACCATCCGGATTCCTGCCTCGTCACTGAAATTAACATTTTAATTAAAGACACGCTACAGCAAACAGGCCGACCAACACGTGACTCAGCACCCGTCAGCGATTTCAGAAGGCGCCGGAAAAAATGGAAGAATGAAGCAGTTCGATGTCGAGAGGTGATTGAACTAATCAGTCGCTGCCGGATACTGCCCACGTTTTAATTGCTCTACGTTATCACGATCACTTGATAATTTCAGTTAATCAATGTCGTTCCAAAGTTCCTATGTCTCAAGGTTTTATACTCTCAGGCTACACAGTTGTGGTCCTACGTCCAAAAGTCTTTGCTCCAAAGTCTATGTCCCAAATTTTTTATCTTCCGCAATCGTACTATTTCAAAGTTCTTATGTAGCAAAGTCACTATGATCAGATATCTTTACACTCAAAAATTTCGAAGTTCGAAGTCTCCATAGCTCAAAGTTCCAATATCTCGAATTTCTTATAGCATGAAATTTCTAAGTTCCAAAACTTCTACATTCCTATCTTTCTACGTCCCAAAATCTCTATCTCTCAAAGTCCCTAAGGGATAAATCTTCACGTCCCCAAATTCCCACAACCCCATGTTGCCTCATCCCAAAGTCGAATTCCAGATTCCCCACATCAAAGTTCCAAGATATGAAAATTACCCCTCTGTGCTCGATTTCGTTTTAGTACGCGAAATCATCAAATTAGAAGGGTTGAAGAAATTCGCCAAGTGTTCCAATACCAACGAACGACAGTATAACAGCCGAAACTTGGAGCATCGCGTAACGCAATGATCGTAATTCAAAGGCTGGTGGTGTGGTTCGTTTCTCGATGATTACAAAGCTTGAGGGAGAAAAAGAATTAATTACGCAAAGTTCCCGCGAAGACAGACAGAACAGGAATCGTTAATTACATCGAGCAGTCGGTATGTGTTTTGCTTTGCTCTACCCAAGGGGATGATTCTGTAATTATGACAAAGACAATACGCAACCGGCATTGTTCCGATTAATGTTACTCAAAGCACACCGATGTGATCCGACCGTGAGTGTGGTTTTTGAGCGTTTGATCGGTTAATTAGTAGAATCTGTTGGTGGAACGTAACCCGCAACGAACCTCGCAGCATTCGATATCGAGCGTGGTCCGTAGTTAACCATTGTTTCGCGTCAACAGTCTATCCAATTTATTAAAACAATGTACTAAATTTATTTCGAGTTGCCTGTACTTGGTGTTACGAAATAACGAACTGGGAATAGTTATTTAAATTGCTTTTTCGTGTCTCGCGTTTTAGATGACGGTCATCGATACACCCTATCGTAGTGTTAATAACGAAACAAATAAGTGACAATGATATCTACATGCAAATAATGCAGGTCGCAATAAAACTGTCAAGTTTGCAGCCGGACAACTTTCCGTTTGTGTAACGGAACCAAGTTGCGATTAAGCTTGATATACTGCTATTTATATATCAGCAAACTCTAATCTAATAGCGTGCAAATATATCTTAAGACGATTCAGCGCATAAACCAACAACGTTATCGGCCAAACATGATAGAATTCCGTGTACATATAATCTTCCGAGCAAAGAAAAGCGAGCATTATTTCAGGATTATTAACGGCCTGTAAGTTCGCGTCGCAGTGCTCTCTGCTTTCCTCGTAATCCACAATATACCAGGTGATTCGCAAACTCGCATTAAACTATCAGAAAGGTACACATGGCACGCAAAACAAGCGGACGTTGTACAAGCGTAAAATAAACGTGTTCATTTTTCTCTTAATTATGACTAATCGCAGACAAGGCTACAAAATGTGCTGAATCGTCAAACGTAATATTTATTTGCCACGGAGAGTGTTATTAAACACGGTAATTTTGCTGATAGCCTTTGCTGCAAATAAGCGTTGTTCATCTAAGATAAATCCTTGAAATATCAGCATGCAATTAAGACTCGCGCTAAGAAGGATCGAATCGCTGAACATACACGTTATTTAGTTAAACGTAGCATAAATCTCTGTCGCGTGCTCGAAATGGCCATCTTATTGATCGTAAAATTGAAACGCTTAATTGTCACCCGCCTCGTTGCAACTTTATATGAAACTTCGGTCGTCGCTTCCATTGTTTTTAAGCACAAAGCTTGAGTATCAGTGTCGCGTTATCGCGAGCCTCTCCTCGAGATAAGTTTCTTCGCTACTTTGTAGCAAAGGACCGACCAGGGTAGAACGTCGAACAGAAACTCAATATACAATTATGCCATCGCTGCGAACGAATTATCTAGCCGCGTTTTCTTGACGTGCAGTTCCATTAGAAACGTAGAACGACTCGTTAAGAAAGTTTTCCCTTCCACGACGAGCACTCGAGTTGCATTCAATTGTCTGTTATCCATGACCATTTCCGTGAATGAACTTTGCTCCATTCATCCACACCTTCGGCTCCTAGAACGATCCTCTCGGAGCAAATATTGGGCATAGTGACGCTCGTTGCTATAAAACTGATCCTTTATCGCGCAATCGTTTGATAACTTTATTAAAACCATCTTCGTTGATCGTTTCGAATAAAAATTTACTTCCAGGTATCCGTCTTATGAATACTAGTCACACAAGAGTTCAATATTATCTCTGGTAACAGACGACAATAATGGACCTTAACCATTGAATAATGAAAGTCCAAGAACCGGAGTTTTGAATAATCAGAATGACATTGACAGAAGTTGGAAACGTTCAGATGTCGGATTAAGATAATTTTGATATGGCAAATTGATATATCTCGATATATGGGAGTAGAGAAAGGGGTGCAAGGCTTTGTAAGAGAGCTTAGGTTATTTATTTCTGTAATATGGACTAGGCTTCATGGTTCCATAAATAGGTACCAGTTTCTCGGATGTAAATTTGACATAAGTCCAAGGTCCTATCGGTCTTATGCAAAAGCGAGGATATTATCGATCATTCTGACATCTTTGAAACCGATAAGGTCTTACAGATGTATTTCAAAACAAATTAATCAAATACGACATGGAAAGTGTTATGAAACGATCCGTAGCAAATCCAAGAGCACGACACTACCGACTGACCTCCGCATTGATTATGGTGACTCGTCCAGAACGGCACGGAGAACCACAGGTTAAAACGAGAAGAGGAATGCTCCGTATAAAGAAGGGGATATCACGTGTTCACGGTTGCGCTTGATCTAAAGCGGAACACGCATGCGCGTTGTCGCGCAAAGTCGTCTGTGTTACGTCGGACCGTTGTGGAGCAGCCACAAAATTTCTTTCTCTTTGCACGGATTCTCGCGAATTTCGATCACACCTCCTCACCGTTTACCCGTATCGATATTCCCTGCCCACTAATAAAAGTGCGAATCGCAAATCGATAATCCGTAAGACAAGCAGTGACGGTGAGACGGAGAATCCCATCCATAATCGGATAAAAAGACTCACGGTTTGTCAGGCTGCGATCTGCGCACCATCATTTCGGCTTTTTGGATCTCCTCGGCCCTAGTGACGCTTTTGGTCCTCCTTAACCTGACCCTCGTGTCGTTTTCATGTTCTGCCGTCATGTTCCGTCGAGGAGAGACGAGTGGCACGCGCACTCCACACCGTACAACGCGCACCCACACACAAACACGGCACACACGAACGACGCGCCAGACACCGGGCCGGCACTCAGTTCGCGGTCGCGCGACCGACAAAAAACGAGCAGAGTTGCACGATCGAACTGGACTTTTACTTTTCTCGACGCGTTAACGATTTATCGATCGATCGATGCTATCAACTATCCGCCTGATAGAAGTCGCGCCTTTAGACTGATGTGACCTTTAAGCGTTGGTATTTAACGGCATAGAACACGCGACAGTGTTTACAGACAGACAGCCACGATCATACTACCGGCTTCTATCGGTTACCGTATCCTCAGGCTACGGCCGTGTTTATCTCCAACTTTTATAGATAACGATGACATCGTTGCCAACCGTAACTCACGATTTTATGTGGTACCGTTTCAAGCCCGACCGCCACATCGGCTATTTTCGGCACAGAGGGCGCGCGTGTTTTCTTACTTTCTTTCGGCGCGTTATGCAAGCGTTCTGAAACGTTTGGCAATACTTTGAAATGTACTTCTAATACTCTCTAATGGAATGCACTCGGCTTCCGGATGTACGAAATGATACAGCATTCACTGTTGACAAATCTATCGAATAAAATGTTTTTATCCTGTATTATCGTAATTGCTTATTTACTAAATTACGTAAAAATTGCGTTCCTAATGAGTATTGTCAGTCTAATCGTTTATAGCCTGATTGTTATTTCTTTGTCAGACCGTAATGAATACTACATCACGTAACGCGGTAATAATCTCATTATGATGGATGTTGTTCAATAAATAGTAATACTAAATCGTTAATCGCGTATGGAAATGAGGGTAAGGAATATTCAATGCGTTTGTTTTTGCGTTTACTTGAATCGCAAATGTCTAGACTTTATTATCTTTGACGCTCTACTTACATTTTTATAATACATTCATCTACCAGAGTTTAATTAGGGGTTATTCAGATATCATGAATTGATTTTGGAAAAATAATGAAAAATTACGACAGTAATTATACGGTTATTAAAATCAAGCTAATTATACAAGATGCTAAATTTAAATATCCGCTTTTTATATTATAAATAATTTTATTACGCAACGTATGCTATACATCCCAGTCGAATTAAATAACCAGACTTACCGTGAACGAAACGCAATCTGTTAGCACGTTATTACATTTTTCCGTCGTTCGAGGTAACAATTGCTTCTTTGTCGGTCGTGACACGATTCATTAAACGTGCTAAGTAATCGTGCTTCGACTGTTAACGTTAATTTAACCACTTCACGCTTCAAGGTTTCAACTTTAAACATAAACGCGCTTCAACGGTCTTCGCAAGTGTTCGGTTCTCGTGCTTTTTGCCGTGAAAAGAAGCTGCTCCCGTAGCTCTTGATGCTTCAAAGTTAAGTGCATAATTACGTAATTGCTTATAATCTTCCGGGGAAAATGTCGGTTTTAAAACGTTAGGTCAATGTACCGAGCCGTGCTGCGTTCGTTTTCAGATCCGTTCGAAATAACAACGGATGCAGCATGCAATTAAAATCGGTAATTACCGGGCATCGTAATCCGGCTTAACGGGTCGAAACATTGTATTTTACAATGGTAGTTACAATTTGATGGCACTTTCGTACACGATACGAACCGCAATAAAATGTAACTTTCTCACCTATGTTTCACGATCGAAGAAGTCCAATGATGTATCGTTTAATGGCACTCGAACGCTGTAAGCGCCGCGATCGATAAAACGGAATCGCCGTGCCTGGTTAATGTATGGAAATATATTTCTATAAAAGACACGACCGAGAACGCCTTTTTTCTGCGTAAAAAATGAAAGATTCTCATGAAATCACGCGAGGAACAGAAACTCTGTGCACGCGCACAAATCATCTACATACACGTTATCAATCATAACAGATTTTTAATTACCATACCCGATATGATGGCTTTTTCTACCCTTCGAGCAGCTAATATTTTCCGCGTGAAAACATGGAAAAACCATTAACGATTTAACGAGACTCCGCTACACGGCAATTATCCTGTCAAAATATCCATTAAGACTTTCGATGTCGCAAGCTTTTCTCAGGGAGTCTGCTGACTGAAAGTTCGATTCGGTTTGTCGCAAACTCGTATGCACGGCGGAACTGGAAACTTCATCTACCGCTCAAAAGTTTGGAAGTAAATAAATCCGAGTTCAAACACGTGAGACAATTTCGTTCGTCAATTATACAGCTCTTTGAACCGCTGGTCGAGAATCGTGGAGCATCGGTGAAAAACGAGACACGTGCGAAGGAAGATGATTAACGAGCGACATTTACTACCTTTCAAAGAAGACGTTTCTATGAACATTCATCGCGTAAGTGTGACGTTACTGTAAGAAACTGTTTATGAGACAGAATTTACCTTTCGAACTGTATACTCTAATGTTTTTAAACGACACATGAATTATAGATATCTGTTTGTACGTCACTTGCACTAGAATTACATATAGTTAAAATCACAAAAACGATAGCATTACTTTTAACTTCATTTAATTACCATTAGACTAAAATACGAATATCCGATTTCACGGAGTAACTAAAACGATCACGGAGTGGTCGGTTCATTCGCAGCCAATTTCGCCCAGCATTTCAGAAACGAAAGAGAACAGCTTCGCGAAAACTGGCGTGAGCACGTCCACGCGTATGAACAGCACGAAGCAAAGTCTATATTCATTCTCCGTTTCACGTCGTTTTCCAGCGAGCACCTCTGCCGGTGCACGGGCACACATTCTGACTGGTTGTATCACGGTAGGAGACAAAATACAGGCGCAGGAAAGCCGTACCAGTCGTTTACGAACTCCCTTTATGGCCGACCACAGATATTACCGGGTACGCTGGCAGCCACCGTTACTCCACATATACATACGTGGTTACACGTCGCCAGGATCTCCATAGACATCTGCCGACTCGGAGCTGCGAGTTTGTACGATTCGTAGCCGCGCTTATGCTAGCAAGACCCATTTCGCTGGCCACTTTGCACCGTCCACGGGATCTAATATCCCCGGGTGCTATTTCCTGATTTAGAAAAATTCTGGCACGCGACGACCGGCAATAAAAGAGAACGGAAAATTGTGCAGCTCGAATGACACTCGTTACGGCAACGTTCACGAGCACCACGTTCCTTGACACCGCCGCTATATGCGTCATTACCGAATTAGGATTTCTGCTAGAAGATCTTAGCTTCGTATGCTCAGAGTCTTACATTTCATTCTACGATTCTAAATTTTCAAAACCTGCTTACGAAACTAGCTGATCTCGCGGAATATCTCCGATACCTTTTAAATCGCACTGCTCGTCGAGTCGCGAAAAAAATAGAAGCTTTATCCTTCGTAGGAACATGTTTCGCGCTAATGCCCGAGGGAAAAGGGAAGGAGCAATTCAGCCGTGGCGAAACGTGATTTTTATCGGACCAACGAACGAATGGTCGTTTTGCTGGAACGTTAACCGTCATCGAATAACCTTAACCGGTGCTCGTAATTTTTGCGAAGTTTCAACGATACGGACGACAAAGAAGCGTACGTTTCCTGTCGTATGATCGCGTTATCTGGGTATTTAGTGATCCGACATTCGCGGACATCGACGCGATCGTTCGTAAAAATACTCGCTACGAGCGTTCACGATCGATTACGTGCTCGATGATGTCGCGTGATTAAACGTCACACACGTGCCTGTGCAGAAGTAAAAAAAGGGGTTTAGCGATAAGATCTCTGCTTATGCATTAACCGATCGTAACGATAGCGTTTGAAACCCCGATCACGAGAATTTTGTAACGGAACCTTTCGCTTCGAGATTATCGTTGATCGTTGCACGAAATGGCTGGTTAAATCGCTTAAATCTGAAAATGCGTGAAGTTCGAGGGAAAGCGTCGTTTTCGCGGAGTTGCGGAAACTCCGGACATCGGTCAACGTTCGAACTTGTCTGAATTTCATCGAGCATCGAGTACCATTTCTCTTTCCTTTTCATTCGTGTATCAGTCGTCGGAAAAGGGAATCGGTTAAACTTTAGCGGTCGAAGAACGGTCGCGGAAACTTTAGTAATATTGGTCGAACCATTCTCGTTCCTATATTATTGCCTCCTTGTCCTGTAAACCTCCGTCAGCACTCGATCATCGACTGTACGCGAGATTCGCGCTTTGCATTCACGATGTACGTGGCACGTGCTATCTAAGTTTTCCATGGATCTATACTCTCGTCTGTCGGGGAACTCGAGACGAACACCGAGTCGCTTTCACGAAATAACACTACATCAAAGACATTAATTGTATATTCCTATACACGATACATTTATACATTTTTAACTACGTCGAATAATATTCAGCATTCTATTTTAATCTCCCATTAAAATCGCAACTGCAACTAAGTGCTCATTGACACGATAGCAACGATTTGTAATTCTCTTTCACGTCACGAATTTATAGAAACACGACACGAAATATTGCAGCAGAGCAGCTTGTTATCGCCGGTTTTCGTCTATCCCGAACTCCAAGTTTAAAAGCCTCATTGATTAAACTCCAAACAAGAAAAACGAGGATGAATCTACTTGGCTCAGAGCTCGCGTTAGAATTCACTGGCAGATAGAATTTATTTCCCAGCAAATTGAGTTCTCCTACGAATTTCGAGACAGCGCGAGCGGACAGTTGTTTCTTCGTGGAATTAATTCGAGTCCGCCAGGTTCGCGGCAGAGGTCCGAACAAGTCCACAGGACGGCAATATTTCAAAGCGGTGAAAACCTGCCGATACAATGGGACCGGTAACGTCGAGTCGCGCCAGAACTTGTCTCTCTCCTTCGAGCTACTAAATAAATTAGACCCAGTCACGCCCAATCGGGATTTCGCGAGCAGTTTTTCACGAAAGCCAAACTACGTGAAAAACCCATACGCTTCATACTCGCAATCCCATTCGTTTATTCGTCTGTCGTATAATTTATCTTAACATCGGAAAAGAAGAAACTACCCTCTATTTTGATTTTGAGAAATTAAATACATATTTGCTTAAATTTGCATATCTTCCTCGACGTTCTAAGTTTTTACATGTTCCTATTAGCCTACGTAAAAGTTTCACAGTGTACCGCATCGAGCCGCTGGCGATTTGCATATACATGACAGAAACGTTTACGTAATTGTAAAAATGAGTGGTTGTACCGAATAAATGAATCTCCGTCGGTATCTCGGTATTTTTATGAGTTTTCGATACATATACGAACATACATATTTGCCGAGCGAACGAGCAAGCGATATTCAAGGAACAAAAGGAAAAGGTTTTCCGCTATCCACGAGGGATTTGAAAAATACATAAGCGCATATAGAACGGAACCGCAAATCCAACGATCGAATTTTCGTGGAGAGTTGGCTGATGGCGAAACAAGTATAGAGGTGTTCTCTTGACTGAACTATAGCGGGGCAAATCTCCTTCGGTCTGACTCGGCTTCGGGACAAATGTAAACTCCACGAAAGTCCTTCGGTAACAGCTTCATTTGTTCACACAATAACAACATTTCCACGGATGGAAATCTCCAACTCGCACCCAGCGAGAATTTATTACGTTCGCTTGTTTATGAAA